AAGCCCCGAGACGCTCTCATGCCACGCTATTGGTCCGCCCACACAAAAAGCATGTGGTGATGCAGAGCAGAGCTGCGGCTAGGCTTAGGACTCTAACATGCCAGTCGGATGAATCAGACAGCCAAGCAAGTCGCTGCTCGCTCAAGGACACAATCTGATTAGTCCGATCTTGTAACGCTTGCTTGCTTCGATATCCTGTACTAGGTACGCAACAAGGACTCCCCTTCTTGCGCCCTTGTCTCCTTGCGGATTGAAACAAAGCGCCTGGGACGGCAAAAATATTGGCTTTTGGCAACATTACAACACCCTCCGCTTCTAAAGTTAGGTCGTGACCCAGCAGATGTCAATCAGCGTTCGCGACATCAGACTAGCCTCGAAACATGCCTAGCCCACCACACTGAAACAAACACGCACACGGTCAGAGCCTCTTGATTGAAAATTTCTCACAGGGAAACTGACCTTGTAGATGATATTTTACCGGTAAATTAGATGAACCCTGTCAGCATGGACTCCATAGGTGGAAATAAATCACTCTTAAAAAAACCCAGAACGGGCACCATATCAGGTCTAAATCACTTCGACAGTTTCTATCGGGTGTTCTCGCGACCGTGGAAAAATGAATTTACGTTGCGTTATTGAATGAGTGACAGTCAGATTTGATTCCACGGCACCATGCAAACACAAACAGTTTATCATTCTTAAAAAGGGCTGAACAGAAGAGTGCTCCATGCAAGCAGATCTATACAGTAATCGTGAAGGGGATCCATTGGAGCTCCCCGTGGGTGGCAGGAATCCTGCAGGCAGTATTGACTACCGTCCTTACAAAACATATCTAGCACAAACAGGCCCATTGTATATTTGAACCTGATCACTTTGCTATCAGTTTTAAATCTCCGGGGAGTGTCTGCTCTCATACTAAGAAGTCCCTAGAAAACGGGTAATGTATCAGCTAGAAAACGGTAAGGGCAAAGTGGGGGAGACAGCTTAACGAGCAAAGTTTCCTTTTCAGCAGAAAATATACAGTCAGGAACTTTGGCTTGGTAATTAAGAGACTTACAGAGGTCGCACTTCCAGGAGCTCTGCCGGATGCACGTTTGCTGCCCTGGCGCCCCCGATCGGCGCTAGCAGGGGAGACATCAGTCATCTCACCGCCTGGTTTCTTAGACATACCTGTAGCCAGAAAGTGGAGAGAGAAAAATGATTGGCTGTACGTAATGCAACCTTCGAAAAATGTACTCTGCCAATCGGAAAACCAGCATACGGGAGGGGGGGGCAGAAGAAATACGGGTGTTATCTCAGACGTCGCTCGCGGCGGTCATAATCAAATGAGGTCAAAAGTAGACGCCACAACGAGTCTTTGTTCAGTGGAAAATATCTCGAGTAATAGGCTATAAATAGGTGCTTCGCACCAGGTAAGGTAAATTCACATACGGGTCCACTGACCTTTTCTGTGGTCAAGAGTTCCTAAAGACGCAATAATGAAACACGTGGCCTTAAATTAGGACGGCTTAATCTCACGACTGCGCCTTTAAAACGCGAAATATGCCTGGGCTGTCATTCTCATTTGTCAGCGGCAAAAACAACCATGAGCAAAATGTTTTTTTTATTTGGCGGAAAACAGAATATCCACTCGCTGTTAATCGTCTCCAGAAGGTGCGATTAGAGACCGCGAGTAATAGTCACCAGGTCATCCGAAAAGTCTGGCTAAGCCACAACTCACCGGAAAGGGGATGCTTGGATTGTGAGGGGGGGTAGTTGCTGGATTCGAAAGTGAATGACTCAATCTGTCCCTCCAGCACGGCAGTCTTAGGTCTCAGAATTATGCACATCCGGAGAGGCGGAAACGACAGGAACAACTGCCTGGCGTCTCGGTTGCGGTGATGCCGATGTAATGAAGCGCGCTGTTACGAAGTTAATTGAATAAACTACTTACTGCGACCCGGGACCATGCTTGTGAGCGGCTCTAATTACGGTTATGAACAGGCAGAGAAGCTGGGGAAAAATGCAAAAAGATTGAAATAGGGACAAAGCCAGACCGTTCTGTCTCCAGTTAAGGACATTCTTAAAAGGTGCCTCAGGTGACATCCCCAAGTGAACTGTCAAACGAATGCACCATGGGCTATGCGCATTTAAATTCATCTTTTGTTAGCGAGGTTCGAGCTGAGGTTTGAAGCTCTACTATGTTTAATGGGCGCGGGGCGTCAACTGGGCACGTTAAAAGTAGGCTCCACTAAAAAGTCACTGTAAGGGCAAACCACGCATTACTGATGTCTATTTCTAGGTGAAGGTGGTGAATACAGTATCTCGTGTGCACTAGACAAAGATGGCTTGGACAGACAGTTTCTTCGCCTATTAGGAGTTTTTGGTGAGATCCTCTATCGAGCTGGAACAATACGCAGATGACCAGTTTCGGCCTCATTATATGCTCTCTCACGTACCCAAAGACTAGTCGAGCCTGCGAGATAATCGCTGAGAGGATTTTTTACGCATGTGCAGCAGTAGTCACTGGTTGGCGCGGACTCGGCAAAGCGCGTTGTAGGGACCGAGGGGGTTACTTACGTTAAGGTGCTACCAAAATTAGGCTCAGCTAAATAAATGATTGAGTGCCCAGGATACGACGGTGGCGTCGGCGTCTAAAAAGTCAAGTCCCTATGGTTGTAGTAACCATCCAATCAGTTTGCAGACGTCTGCAGCAGAAAATAGACTAGCATTCAAAATTAAGTGTGCAAATTGCGTTTCAGTACGAACTGCAAACCTGCAGGGGGCTAGAGCGCAATACCGTTGGGGGAGGAGCGCAGTATTTAAAATTAATTGAATGTAAAAAAATAGTGCAATTCACCATGTTCGCCAGCGCGACCGGCGGAGTCGAGGGCGAGGGCACTGCCGCCAGCACTACCACTTCCTTTTGCAGCATAGGGATCATTTG